CCAAAACTGAAAATAGCAAAAACAAACAAAATAAAATAAAAGTTTGAACATACTGTATCATGTGTGTTCACTTGCCCTTTCAGTATTGGTTTTAGTGACCATTCTTATTCTTGAAATATTTAGAAAAAGTGGCTGATAATTAGACAGTTACTCAGATTCTTCAAATAAGCAAAATACTAAAGGTATTTCCCAAGATATGATTTATAATACTGTAAATATAGAGGTTACATCGATGAATTCTTTCTTGATAAAGCAGTTAGTACAGTGGGTTTAGTTCATCAAGTGAGAAAATGTGCTGAGCTAATGGAGGGTAGCAAGAGGGGAAGAAAGGAAAGCAGACGATACTTTTATATTAAGATGAAGGGTTTTTATTGCTGTTTGGCATCAAGATTGCTCCAGTAATAAAATATTCTGCTGTAGTAGTATTTTGGAATATTTTTTACTCCTAGTTTTCTTTTTTTTTCTACATTTTCTAACAAATCCTTTAAGTATAATGTGTTGGTTTTGTTAGTACACTATCAGTTATCTTTCAAAACTGATGTTGCAGGAAATGCCCATTAGAAATTTTTTTTCTATAATCCAAGTTTCTTGGGTAGCTAAGCAGATAAGAAACTGTGTATTACCAAGTAAAGGGAAGTTGGGAGGCCAGCTCGAGATGGGAGATGCGGACTGAAAGTAGACTATAGACTGAACATAATGGTCACTCAGTACCTGTATTGTGGACTGCAAACCCAGAGGGAGAGAGAGAACAAAAGGGAATGCCCTGCCAATAGTCGTGTTGGGATGGGGGGAAGAAGGTGGGGGTGATGGGAGGGATGCTGGGATCATTGGTGGTGGAGAATGGGCACTGGTGGAAGGATGGGTACGTGGTCATTGTATGACTGAAACATAAGCACGAAAGTTTGTACGTCTGTAACTGTACCTCACGGTGATTCATTAAAAAATTAAAAAATAAAATAAAATGTTGTTTTAAGGGCCAGAGAGATAGTTTAGCAAGTAAGGTGCTTGTCTTGCACAACCCAACCTGGGTTCAGTCCCCAGCACCTCATATGGTTCCTCAAAGAACAACTAAATGTGATCCCTAACATTCCATTTAGAAAAGAAATTTGTGCTCCTGTGTTCAGGGCAGCATTGTTCACAATAGCCAAAATCTGAAAACAATTCAAGTTACCAAGAACAGATGACTGCATAAACAAACTGTGGTACATAATACACAATAGAATACATTTGTTTTTTTCTTTTTTAATCCAAAAATATTATTTTTATTTTTGTTTTATTTTTTAATAAATCACCCTAAGGTACAGTTACAGACTTACAGACTTTTGAGGTTATGTTTCAGTCATACAATGATGGAGTATCATCCCTTCACCTACATTTGATTTTAAGAAAACATTAAATCATTCAGTTTGCTGAAATATGGATGGATATGGAGAATGCTATGCTAGTCAGAGGGAGGGGGAAAGATGTAGATTGATCTCTCACATATAAAAGAAGCAAAAACACATAGTGCAGGAATAATAGATACATAAGGACAATAGAAACTGGGAATTGATCTTTAGCTTCCCACAGAGTGGGCATGGGGATGATGGGTGAGCACTGAAACAGTGGTGGAGGGAAGGGGACACTGGTGGAGAGTGTGGTTCTGTAGTGTTTTGTGCTTGAAACCCTGCCATTAAATGTTTCAAAACCATGATACTTAAGATAAATATTTAACAATAGAATGTTGGCTGTGTTTATCCCTAACAGAAAAAAATTAATTTCTGTGCACAAAGCCAGGAGTGAGTATTGGACATCTCCCACTGTTGTCCAAAAACAAAACAAAACAAAAAATAGAGAAATGCTGTACTATTACATTCCAACAGAGTAGAATGTACAGTGTGGACTTATCTTTAAGATGTTTCAAGCATCATATTATGGAGTATCATATTGCATAGGGTAGACTACTGCTGTAGTAATATTGAAGTAATTTCTCTGAGAAGAAATGGCAGTACAAGTTATTTCACCAGCCAGCTCAGGTAGGCACACAGTGGATGAAGCTGTGACTTCTGGACTTCTGCTAAGGATTTTCACACTCCAAGGGTTGTAATTTGTGGTGGAAAGACTGAGATGGGGCCAAAATGATGGGGAACAAAAGATATATGCTGAATGCAACAAAGCAAAAAAGCAAAGTGCAGGTAACTATGTAAGATTCAAGATATTTGAATAAACTTAGGTGAAGAGACAATAGAATTGAAGGTCAGTGAGGGTGGGTGCAGGAGAAGCCTTGGCAGAAAAATTTGGAAAATCACCAAATTTAAATTTTAGACCCAACCAGATATCTAAAACCCTCTGTTTAGAAGCATATCATTACATTGTAGTATACTAATAAGACAGTCTCAATACCTATGTTGTTTGTCAACTCAAATGAAAATAACTTGTGTTAAACCCATCTGCCTAGAACACTGAGTTGTTAAGTCCATCTGCTTAGAATACTGATTTTAAAGTAGTTCTTTGCTACTTAAAGGAAATTATTTCTTTGTGTGATATTAAATATGACTTGTCTTCGGTGATTTTTTTTACTCTGTATACCCTGTATTTTTCATTTGGATAGGAATTGTGTGGAATTATAGAAGTAAGAGTTCTTCGAGTTAATTCTTTAATTTTAAGCATTACTAATATACAACTGTGTTAATAACCATGGTTGTTAGAGAGAGGAACTTCTCTCTGGAAAGTCTGAAATAAACTGAAGGTTCATGGGTTTGCTCACCTAAATTGAGTGAATTCAGTCATATCAGAAATGCCCCAACAGTGCTTGAAGTTTATTATGATATTTTCAGTAATGTAAAGTCATGCAAGATTGAGTTATATAGGAGTAGAGGGTGGAGGTAGGAATTGTTCTGGTGTAGAATGAATTTGAAAAAATGTATATTATCTAGGACCCTGGAATGTGGGAGAAATGTCAATCCAAAATATGTCTTTTGCAGGAATTTGAGCATGACTTTTTTTTGATGCGGGGAAAAGGGTGGTTTGGATTTGGGGACCATATCTGGCTATACTCAGATATGACTACTTGAGCTCAAGGGTCATTCTTGGTACTCAGGGACCATCTGTGGTGTCAGGGATCGTGACAGGATTAACTGTATGCAAGGCAAGACTCTTACTTAACCCTTTTTACTATTTCTCTAGCCCCCAAGTGGCCATTATTGCTACTTCTTGCCATGAGTGTGTTAGTCTTTTTTCCATTTCACTTCCAAGTGACATATTCTCCAGTCTTAGCTAGCATTCTCATTGGCCCTCTGTTTGTAGTATGGATTGGTTGTTTCTACTGCGTTAAGTCTTCTTGCTATGTTCTGGAAGGGAAGATTTCACGATGTGCTGGATTGCTAAATAACAGTTATGAAAAGACAGGCTAAACTAAGGAAGTTTATCATAGCGAATAGTGCCTGTGATAAGTAAAGGCTTTATCTATAAGCCTATAAAAGAGAGTTAGTCTTCTGATTTGTTTGGGGTGGCTTTATGGATGAGATGGGATTTAAATTATAGAGGTTAGTTTGGTTTTCTGCATCAAGTACAGGTAGAGGAAGAATGGAATTCTAGATAGTAGGAAATTGAACCAAATTATATAAGTTTATGTTTGGGTATAAGTAGATGAATTTAGGTCATTTATGCCTGGGTTCCAAGCTAGACTGATTAAAATAGAATCACTAGGGTCATATACAGATTATTGCAATTTCTCAGATAGTGATTTCACATGGGTATATGTAGTATATATGATTTTTTAATGAACTAGTGTACATTAATAATATTTCACAATGGTAAGAAATGTTAGACAATGAGAAACATTGTAGGCTAGTGGGTTAAAAAATGAGAGCTCTACTATTCACAATAGCCATTTGGAAATAAACCAAGTGCCCTAGAACAGACTGGTTAAAGAAACTTTGGTACATCTACACAATGGAAAGATGAAATCATGCAATTTGCTTGTAAGTGGATAGACATGGAGAGTATCATGCTAAGTGAAATGAAACAGAAAGAGAGGGACAGACAAAGAAGGAATGCACTCATTTGTGGAGTATAAAATAATATAACATGAGACTGACACCCAAAGACAGTAGATAGAAAGGCCAGGAAGATTCTTCATAGTTAAAACCCTGCCTCATGACCCAAGGGGAGAAGGCAACTGTAATAGTGAAAGGATTACTAAGAAAAGAGTTGGAGGAATTGGTCAATATCGGAGATGTGTGCTGAAAGTAAATAATGGACCAACCATGATAACCTCTCAGTAACTGTATTGCAAACCATAATGCCCAAAAGGAGAGAGAGAACATGGGGAATATTGTCAGCCATGGAGGCAGGGGGAGGGTGGGAAAGAGGGATATACTGAGGATATTGGTGGTGAGAATATGCACTGGTGGAAGGGTGGTTGTTTCATCATTGTGTGATTGTAACTCAAACATGAAAGCTTGTAACTATCTCATGGGATTCAATAAAATATAATAAATAAATAAATAAATAAATAAATAAAGAGAGCTCTGACAGAAGAATTCCAAATGGTTTTTGTCTGTCCTCTTTCTGCTTGAAGTTGTTGAAGCTCATTTCCTATCAGTTTCCAGATGATTTTGATCCAAAACAAGTTCAAGGACTCCTAGACATCTTGAAATTACAGTACATTGAGAGTCTATGAGAAAGGATTGGAAAAGATATTAAACAAGACTGTGGAGATGTTCTCTATTAGGCCTAGGAATCACCTGACTATATTCTGCAGGGCAGAGGTACCAAAGTTTACAGTCTTAGTGACTTATGCTATGTTATGATTCTATTATAGTGAGCTCTCGTGTGACTAGAGACAGAGAGGGGAAGGAAAATTATGAGATGTAGATATATGTGTGGCACTGCCCTTAGTAATCATTAAGGATATTATTTACTTATGTATCCTCGAGAGGTAGTTTTCCTACTTTTAAATTTAGTTTTCTAAGCAGAATATATTGGCATTTTTGTAATGGAACTTCTTATCTCTTTAGGGGAGTTGGCTGCATCTTTGTTGAAATGATTCAAGGAGTGGCTGCTTTTCCAGGAATGAAAGATATTCAGGATCAACTTGAACGAATATTTCTGGTAAGTTCCTTACAGAATGCTTCTGAGAAAAAAAAAGTGGTTTCTAATTTATCTTTGTGACAAATTCTATAGTAGTCAATGGAAAATGATTTTAAACAAATATATTGGTTGTCACATTTAATTTTCACACTTTTAGGGTCTCTGCAAAAGTCAGACATTAGTTAAGAATTGTGTTTTGGAACAACTATATATGCATAATATGCTACAATGGTAAGAAAGGATAGTATATGAAAGGAGAATAGGAGAATGGGTCAACAATAAAGGCTTTACAGGCTGGCGAGATAGTACAATGAGTAAGATGCTTGCCTTGCATGCAGCTGACTAGGTTCAATCCCTGGAACTCAATGTGGTCCCCTGAGCCTGAGCCTTACCCCCAAACAAAAAAAGCAACAACAACAACAACAAAATAAGAGTTCTAAATAATAGGGAGATTTTTTTAAAAAGTAAAAGTAGAACTTCTTTATGATCCATCAATTCCACTTCTTGACATCTGTCCCCAAATACAAAAACCTTGATTGGAAAAGATATATGTAAACTCTGTTTGTTGAAGTGTTTACTATAATAGCCAAAGTATGGAAACAGCACAAATCAAGAAATTATGATGCATTTAAAGGAGGGCATAGTCTGCAGCTGTAAGAAAATATGGAATCATGCAGTTTGCTGCAAAAAGATAGAATTGGAGGGTACCATGTTAAGTGAGAGAAAGAAGAGAGAGAGGACAGATAATAGCTGATCTCACTCATCTGTGGAATAGAGAGACACAAAAGAAGAGAATAGATAGTACTACACAATGACAAAATCTTGGCATTGTAATAAAAATTAATTACCAGATAGTGGAGGTAGGAGAAAAGAAAACCAGACAAGTGGTGTGGAGGGACAGTGGTGGACGGTTGTGGGCACTTCCATGGTGGCTTTAGTAACTTTCTATTTTGATACTGCAGCCTTTAACAGTATTGTAACTACCTAAACTATAATAAATAAAAATAAGTTTTTAATAAATGAAGGCTCTGACATAAAGATTCTAAATAATTTATGTAGATATGCCTCTTTCCACTTTAAGTGTTGGTGCTTAATTTACTCCTACACTGCCACCCATATAAACTTGTGCTTTGATTACTAAGTTCTTTTCATAAGACAAAGAAAGGAAATTACTGAGGATAGAGTGTTTTTAAAATAGAAAAAGCCAGTATACTGTGCCTCAAGACAGGTCTTTAATTTCAGTCTCCCCTGAGAGAAGTCATCTTATTGTTTGGTAGAATGTGTGGAGAAAGATACTTCCCCTCCCATCTTCCTTACAAAACCATGCCTCCAGTTTGATAATGAAAAGCCCATCACACACACACACACACACACACACACACACACACACACACACACACACATTCAAATTGATGATCACTGCACAATATCTCAGTAGTACTCCTTCTACAAACCGTTGGGTTTTTATAAAATAGTCTGAGAATCATCACGAAAGCGAATGCAAGAGGGACATGACATCTTTGTGTAAAGCAGCCTCCTGGGTAGGATCGTGGAACAGAAAAAGAAATTTAGGGGACAACTAGTAAAGTCATAGTCAAGTGCAGTTTAGTTAATATCAGCATACCAGTATGTTCTCCTTAGTTGGGATGAATGTATCATTTATGTTTTAACAACAGGGGAAAGTACTAAATGATGTGCATTACATTCAAATATTATAAATGAATATTAACAGAATGTGTTTTGGAGTGAGACCATCTGACTTTATTTTCTACACTGTCACCACCTAGGGCAAGAGACTTAGTTTTCTGAGCCTTACATTTTCCCATAGGTGAAATAAAAGAAATCATATCTATTTCATGGGTTGTTTTAAGAAATAATTGAAGGGCCAGAGGGAAAGTACAGGTATAAGACAGTCACATTGCATGTAGCTAACTCGGGTTTGAAACCCGGCACCACATATGGTCCCCTGAACATTGACAGGAACAACCACTGAGCAGAGCCAGGAGTAAACCTTGCACATGGCTGAGTGTGGCACAATACAGTAACTTCCCCAAAATAAAGGAAAGAGATTGAACCCGGGTCAGTTGTGTGCAAGGCAAGTGCTCTACCCACTGTACTATTGCTCCAGAGCCCTATATCATCATTCTTAATGAGTCTTTCATTGTATGAATGGGAAATGATTTTCTTAATCAACCTTATATTGATACCTTGTTTACAGGTTTAACTTTTGGGGGGGTTGGGTTGTGGACCACATTTATCTGTGCTCAGGGCTAACTCCTGGCTCTGCACTCGGGCATCACTCCTAGTGGGCTCGGAGAACCATGGGACACCAGGGATCAAACTCAGGTCAGGTATATACAAGGCAAGAACCTTACCCTCTGTACTGTCTCTCTAGCCCTATCTTTTTTTAACTTCTATATACTACTACCAGAAATGCCCTTTGCATATTTTTCATCATGAAACCCTGTCATTACCGGTTGTAAAGCAAGATGCCTAAAATAAAAAAAAAGATTAAGAGTAGTTATTAGCATTGCAAGTCCTAATTCAATAAAATATAACTCTGGTAAACCCATTTTATACACTCATTTTTACTTATGAAATACTTCCTTTTCCCTACTCCCACACAAATCCCTTAATGATTTCATTGAGATTTTATTGGTTTAAAGGGCTGAAAAACATACTTTGTGGGCAGGAGTCCAAGTTTGATCCTGACACTGTATGATATGCTAGGTATGGCATTGTGGGATCCAAAAATAAGCAGAATAAAAAAGAGAGCAAAAGAGATTGATCCTATTCTACACATAGATTATATTACTAAAAATTGTATTAGTAAGAAGTGGTATATAATATTGATCTTTCCCATCTAAAACAGGGTCCTTTATACATTTTTGTCCTTAGTGTAAATATGTAATTCGTATGTACTTTTTTTATACTGTCTTTTTTGCCACTCAATTATTTGACACATTTTTTTTACAAATATTCTCCTTAAAAGATTATCTTTACGCCTATTCCCCTGGAGGCTCGGTGGCCACCATCTTCCAGAGGCCATTGGACAGTCAGGAATGGGCCAGCTGTGACGAGACATGCAGGGCCTCATGGGATTGGGGTGGAACCTGCCCTTATCCTCCCCCACCCCAAGGAGACCTCCAGTTGCCTCGCTCGAATAGCCCCTCTGGCTACTGATAAGCTGCTTAACAGCCATGATCTCAGAGACACAGAAATGAATCTCAGAACCCAGAGGCTTTTAGCAGAAATCCCTCCAAATTCAATCATTAAAATTTCAGAATTCCAAAATCATGCGGTCGCTATCATGAACATGTGACATCATATGCTATTCATAATCAGCAATAGAAACCAAATTGTGTAATGTTGCCTTTTTGGCAGGTCTGAGTGTTGGGGGGAAATACCATTAATAATGGAGAGTATTCGATATGCCAGACACAGTAACAACAAAAGTCTCCAATGGAGACGTTACTGGACCCGCTTGAGCAAATCGATGATCAATGGGAGGGCCTTTAATTTAATTTTAATTAAATGGTGGGTCTGGTGTTGAAATATTAAATGTAATCAAAGAAGAGAGAGAGTAATGTGGAAATCATCTGCCACACAGGCAGGGGGATGGTGTGGGATGGGGGGATGTAGGGGGTTTTGGTGGTGGAAACTGCACTGGTGAAGGGACGGGTGTTTCATCATTGTATGACTAACACTTAAACCTGAAAGCTTTGTAACTGTTTACATGGTGATTCAATAAATAAATTTATAAAAAATAATAATGAATAAAAGATTATCTTTAAAAGATAATAAATATTTTAACATGTAATTCTTTTGGGAAATATACCAGGAGAAGGAATTTTATAGTTTGCATTCTGTAGATTGTTATGCTTAGAAATCTCTTCAAATATTTAGTTTTTTAATTTAAGTATAATAATAACAATTGAAAATTATTTTCTAAATTGTAGATCCCACTTAACTATTCACTCTGATAGCTATTAAATAATACTAATGAAACCTCATAAGTTTGCAGATTCTTGTTTGATAACATTATTAATTTGCTATATTAAACTCAGGCCAAAGCAATAGCATAGCAGGTAGGGCATTTGCCTTGCACGCAGCCAGCCCAGGTTCAATTCCTCCGCCCCTCTTGGAGAGCCCATCAAGCTACCGAGAGTATTCTGCCTGCATGGCAAAGCCTGGCAAGCTACCCATGATGTATTTGATATGCCAAAAACAGTAAAAACAAGTCTCACAATAGAGACGTTACTGGTGCCCATATGAGGAGATTGATGAACAACGGGAGGACACTGCTACAGTGCTATGTTAAACTCAGAAAATTTCAAAAGGTATCATATACAAAGTAATATCTTCATGAATCATTATCTCTGGGTAAATTAAAAGGCATTGGAAATGTTTGGAAAATTAAACTGTGTCTATAGCAGCGGGTTGGAGCGATAGCCCAGCGGTAGGGTGTTTGCCTTGCATGCAGCCAACATGGCCAACCCGAGTTCGATTCTTCCGCCCTCTCAGAGAGCCCAGCAAGCTACCAAGAGTATCTTGCCCACACAGCAAAGCCTGGCAGGGTCCCCGTGGTGTATTCGATATGCCAAATACAGTAACAACAAATCTCACGATGGAGACATTACTGGGCCCGCTCGAGCAAATTGATGAACAACAGGAGGACCATGACTGTGTTAGCAGCACAACCAAAAACTATGAGTTTAATCAAAGTATAGTTCATTAATATGCCTTAATCAGAGCTTCATATTCGTATTTGTGGAGTTTTCTTTTTCAGTTTTGAGCCACAGCTGTTGGTGCTTGTGGCTATTCCCAGCTCCATCTGTGCTTGAGAGTCACTTTTTCAGAGTCACTTTTGACTGTGTGGTGCTGGTGATTTAACCCAGGCCTCCTGCATTCCAAGCATTTGATCAGCCTTTTGATTTGTCTCTCCAACTCTAATCAAAGTTTTGTCTTACATTTTCTTTTTACAATATATCTAATTTATGGTAGGTTCTACTTTGTCGGAT